TGTTGTAAGCATCCCTGCTAGGAACACCTGTGATAGGGAAGGGTTCAGGGTGTTGTAAGCATCCCTGATAGGAACACCTGTGATAGGGAAGGGTTCAGGGTGGTAGGTGCAGCCCTTAGAGCAAAGGTTCGTAACATGATCACTATTATACAAACCCTGGGTGAATTGACAAACATGACTCCCTTTATATATGGATTGTTGTAGGAACGAGAAAATCATCAGGATTTGATCACATATTTCTGGAAAAACGGCAAGTCACAAAAGTTAGCAGCAACTAGTGAGACTTTTCCTATTTCGTGTAATAAAAACATGAAGTAGAGGTTATAGGTACTGATGGTTATGATTAATTTTAAGCTAAGATTTTTTGTTGTAATTGTTGATAGATTCTAATACCCCGATTATTTGGTTCCTATACTTCCCGTGGGGGTATGGATACCCCCGGTTAAGAACCCCTGCCTTTGAGGAACACCTATATTAGGGGGAAGGAGGGCGGGGGTGGTGGAGGCACCTTAATTGTTGGTGGGGGTTGGGGGTGGGTGGCAGTGGTGGTGATGGAGGAGAATGGAGAGGCAGTCAGGGCAACAATGCCTGGCTCAGGGGTCTCGACACAATATGAAAGCTGGCGAAGAAATAGGTTGCATGTATACAGGAGCACAGGGCCGCATATTGTTGTGTATGTTTCCATGTTAGTGGTGCTTGTGGCGGGAGACGAGGCGGATGTGGTGGCCTTTGACGCTTCCTGGGGCGTGAGCGCCAGCCATGTTGCTGCTCCTCAATGGATATTCATTTACCTTAGTTCTTATTTATTATTGTAAGTTTTTCTCGGTTATTTGAATTTCCCCTCATTTATCCCCTTCCCCCCCTCTCTCTCCGTCCCAGCCCAAATCCTTATCCTAATCAATTCTAACCAAGTGCTATCTATATACAGTAATCGGCGCTTCCTTCTCGTAATTCACTTGGGATATTTGAATGATATTTTAACCCGTGTCAATAGATCAAGATCTATCATCAACGCATTTTGTATCGGGCTTTGTAACGGCATCATTTGTCTAAATTTAGCATGAATATTTTTGTCGCTATGTATCATTTTATACATGCGCTCCGAGCATGGGTGGTCATGGTTTGTTTTTAACCTTTACGTCACTTCCACTTGGGTATGTCCACGCGCCCGCCCGCCCATCCACACGCGTACACGCCCGCCCGCCCGCCCACACGCGTACACGCGCCCGCCCGCCCGCCCGCCCGCCCACACGCGTACACGCGCTCGCCCGCCCGCCCGCCCACACGCGTACACGCGCCCGCCCGCCCGCCCACACGCGTACACGCGCCCGCCCGCCCGCCCACACGCGTACACGCGCCCGCCCGCCCACACGCGTACACGCGCCCGCCCGCCCACACGCGTACACGCGCCCGCCCGCCCACACGCGCCCGCCCGCCCACACGCGCCCGCCCGCCCGCCCACACGCGCCCGCCCGCCCGCCCACACGCGCCCGCCCGCACGCGTACACGCGCCCGCCCACACGCGTACACGCGCCCGCCCACACGCGTACACGCGCCCGCCCACACGCGTACACGCGCCCGCCCACACGCGTACACGCGCCCGCGCACACGCGTACACGCGCCCGCGCACACGCGTACACGCGCCCGCGCACACGCGTACACGCGCCCGCGCACACGCGTACACGCCCGCGCCCGCCCACACGCGTACACGCCCGCCCACACGCGTACACGCCCCCACCCGTCCACACGCGCCCGCCCGCCCGCCCGCCCACATGCGCCCGCCCGCTCACACGCGCCTGCCCGCCCTCCCGCCCGCACGCGTACACGGGCCCGCCCGCCCGCCCGCCCGCCCTCACGCGTACACGGGCCCGCCCGCCCTCACGCGTACACGCGCCCCACCCTCCCGCCCTCACGCGTACACGCGCCCCACCCTCCCGCCCTCACGCGTACACGCGCCCCACCCTCCCGCCCTCACGCGTACACGCGCCCCACCCTCCCGCCCTCACGCGTACACGCGCCCCACCCTCCCCACCCTCCCGCCCTCACGCGTACACGGGCCCGCCCTCCCGCCCGCACGCGTACACGCGCCCCACCCTCCCGCCCGCACGCGTACACGCGCCCCACCCTCCCGCCCGCACGCGTACACGCGCCCCACCCTCCCACCCACACGCGTACACGCGCCCCACCCTCCCACCCACACGCGTACACCCGCCCCACCCACACGCGTACACGCGCCCCACCCACACGCGCCCCACCCACACGCACCCCACCCCCACGCGCCCCACCCCCACGCGCCCCACGCGTACACGCGCCCCACCCCCACGCGCCCCACCCACCCACACGCCCCACCCACCCACACGCCCCACCCACCCACACGCCCCACCCACCCACACGCCCCACCCACCCACACGCCCCACCCACCCACACGCCCCACCCACCCACACGCGCCCTCCCACCCACACGCGCCCTCCCACCCACACGCGCCCTCCCACCCACACGCCCGCCCACACGCGCACATGCGCCCGCCCGCCCACACGTGCACATGCGCCCGCCCGCCCACACGTGCACATGCGCCCACCTGCCCACACGTGCACATTCGCCCGCCCGCCCACACGTGCACATGCGCCTGCCAGCCCACACGTGCACATGCAACCGCCCAACCACACGTGCACATGTGCCCGCCCGCCCACACGTGTACACGCGCCTGCCCGCCCACACGTGTACACGCGCCTGCCCGCCCACACGTGTACATGTGTACTAGGTACTCCCAAGGCGCGCCCTAGACCACTACACCACGACATGGGGAAAAGCATTGTAACCTGGGATTCAATTGAATCCTCTAGGGTTCTTGAGACTTCCACTGAAGCCAAATAAGAGCTTGGCACAATGCCTCCAGGCGCTCTGGCATGTAGTCTAAACGTTCTTCCTCCTACACTTCTCTTCAAATACAGGTACACAAAAAAATCACATGAACAATGGTGTATCAATGAGAAAATCAGTAGGAGCCATGAGGAGGATTCCAACCCATGCTCTGAGTACTCCCAAAAGCAGCACTTTTAATCAAAGCAGTAGCAAAGTACTATAATAGCAGTCCCTGTGGTGCAGTAACAAAACACTCGCTCAGCGCTTCCCAAGTGCTTTGACCTGGGTTTGTATCCTGGCAGGGGAGGATTTACTTGGCCCCAATCTATAACTGTAGCCTCTGTTCACCCAGCAGTGAATTGGTACCGTACCTGGTTGTTAAACAATTCGGCAGGGTGTATTCCAGGGAAAATTAGGATTAAGGGCTTGCCTGAAACGCCGTGCATGCTAGTGGCTGTACAAGAATGTAAGAACTCTTGTACAGGTATATATAAATAAATCAATACAAATAAATGCATTAATAAATCATGTCGTGGTGTCTTGGTCTATGGCTTTGCTTGGGAATACCCAGAGCATAGGTTTGAATCTTCCTCACGGCTCCCACTAATTTTCTCATTGATACAGGTTTTGTAACATCTGTAGGAGCCATGATGAGGATTCGAACCTGTGCACTGGGTGTTCCCAGGTGGCACACGCTCCACTTGTACAACCTGGTCACGACGTGGATTTATCATTGATGCATCACACTAGTGTGATTGTTTATTATAAAATAGAGGAATTTTTTAAACCTTCAACTTCAAGCACAAGAGGTCATAGATTGCTCTGAAGGAAACAAAAGGGCAAAAAAACTGTGAAAGTTCTCTTGTGCGAGGAAAGTTGTAGAAGGTTGGAACATGTTAAGTGAGGTGGTGGTGAATCCCAAAACCATCAGTCATATCAAAACTCATATGGCAAAGATTTTTAGAGAGATGGAACACCATAAGCATGACTCATCCTGTAACTAAGGGAATTAAGCACATGCATATACAGTATACATACACACATTCACACACCCAGCACCCCATACAGCATGCACTCTCTCTCTCTCTCTTTCACACACTGGTGAATGCAAGACAAATCTTTATTTTATTTCCATATTTGACATTTCTTTCCCATGTTCTGTAGCTTACCATTATTTTCTTGGTACAACCTCTTGTAATTCAGTATCAGATAAGTTACTGTGTAACATTGGACAGCATTTTGAATTAACTGTGATAATTAATAGTGTGTGACTGTGGAAGTCATTAAATTTACCAAAGCAATCTCAAATTTTTGTTTACTAGCATAGTACAGTACCATAATGCACATTGTTCAATAGTAAAGAACTGAGAATAATTCAGTTGTAGAGAGATGTACATGAGGAAGGTAATTCTAAGGAGAAAGTGCTAAGCCAGTATGCTAACACAGTATAACTCAGATATGCACTGAATGGGCCTCACTAGTTTCTTAAATATTTGGCATGTTGACAATTGAACTTGACATATAGTAGTATTCAAAGCTTAAGCATGCATTATTTTTTGCTACCATTAGGTCGTTGTGTACAATGATGTGTACCTGAGCCAACTTGTCGAGTCCTAGGTCTTGATGAACCTAACCCAGGATTAACCATTATATATATGAAACTTTTATTTATTTTCCCAAAATTAAACATACATTACTTATTCATATTGTTTAGTTGTAAGGCTAAAAATATTATTTTAAAACGTGTAGCACTGTATACAAGTATACCATACGCCATCCTTAAGTACATACCTCTGCACATTAAGATGGGCATGAGTGCAGTATTGAGAGTATACATATAAAAAGAAAATTGTGTATAGTACACAAGTAACATAAATGGTGCACATATGTGAATCATTCATGCAAACATTATGCTCCACAGTACAAGCAAACATGCTGTTAGACGTTCCAGGTACTGCTCATATTAACTGTTTCGGTACACACGCTGTTTTAACACACAAGTTTAATACATTCTGTGACACTTCTGGAATAAAGAAGACTCCTAAGACATTGAATTAATGAGGTTTTACTTAGTTTCCAGATCAGTTTTTATTTTTGTGCATGAATGTAGTAGTCACATTTTTATCACATTTTTTCAGAACGTCATCAAGGCTTGATATGGGGTGGTAGGTGTTTCATCAGGTGGTAAACTGGTGTGTGCTTCCCAAACTCCCAATACCCCATATCCATGCCATGTAGTGCCATAAAACCACTGCCCCGTTGTCATTAAATCCCAGGTTCAGATTACCATTAGATTTGTATATCAAAGAACCCTAAAACTATACTCCAAATGGGTGCAAGTGTTGCCACCCTTAGCTTTAGTATTTGCTAATGGAAGACGCATGATTTAGAAAGTAAATCTTTCCCTTATTTATTGTACAGTATTATAATTCTGATTAAATTCCAATCAAGCAAAGTTACCTCTCCTACTTTTTACTGCCTTGAATCTGTTTCTAAAGCTAAATTTTGTCCTTACTGTAAACAGAAAATATTTTGTATGTTTGTCCTAGTTGTTTGAACTTTTAGCATGGTTGCATGGCACTTGTGAAACTTTTACTTCAATACTGTACATTTTATTGTACGTAGGCAATAGGAGCTAGTTTTTAAATGGCGAGTTGTATGGTTTCAGTGTGCTAGGGTCTCACAATCTGAATTTTTTATTTGATGTGTTACTGTCATATGGTTACTCATCAAATGGTTTTTCTTCAACACATTTTGTGTGTGGCGGCATTTTGATGATCATTGTGGAAAATAATTGTATTGAACTAGGAATTAGATGTAATGTACAGTATGAAATTCACCTGCTCTATTTATATTACCGTACTGTATAATACAGTACAGTATATGAATTCCACATGCTGTATTTGTATACAGTACTGTAGAACAAAATGCTGTAAATCAATAATGCTGTACGTTTAAAGGATGATAAAGAAGTGGTAAAAAGTAGCTAAATGCTGTAGAATAGAATGAGGTTATTCAACAGTACAGTATACAAATTCACCCAGAGAGATCACACTATCGTGATGCATCATGAGTAAATCCGTAGGAGCCGTAATGAGAGTGTGAACCTAGCCTATGGATTTGCTCGGTATACAAATTATTAATACAAGAAATAATGAATGTTCCAATTCATATCTACTTGGCTAATCTCTCTACACCAGAAGAGCATGTAACTTGTTCATTGTTTGTGTGTTACTGTACAGTATACACCAAACATTATTATATTGAATTAGTGCAAGTGATAGAACACACTTTAACGAAGGTTTTATATTAAATACTGTATCTCTTGAGACATTTGTAAACATTTTGTTAAATTTAACTAAAATTTTTCGGCACTTTATTCTTGTGCAGTGCATATATGCAGTTGCTTCACTGAAAGTCTTTTGTCAATTTCCATGACAACAAGTCACAGGGATCTTGCATCCAAATGAGAATCTCTTCATTGTATTCAGTTTTTCAAAAGACGAGTTCCATTCGAGCAAGTATAAGGTGTTTATATCAAATACTTCATACAAATTAATTTGACATATCAAGTTGATCCATTTAGTTTGCAGTCTGTAGTGTATTTCTTGTGATGTGTATAATATTGCCTTAATGTATTTGGTACATACAGTATACTGTACTGTACATTAAGCCTAAATGTATCACATACAGTAGAGGTCTAACCTGTGTGTTATATACAGCAATGCAGGTTAGGTTTGGTATAACAAGAAGAAGGCATATGGTTAGCATCGGCATAATTTATCAACATACTAATTTAGGTTGTTCACCCTATCCCCACTAGATTTTGAAGAAGCCATAGACAATATGCCAATGCACTCTGCACCAGGCCCTGATTCTTGGAACTCTATACAGGTATTCATCAAGAACTGTAAAAAAAAAAACACTCGCAGGCCCTTCACATACTTTGGAGACAAAGACTAGAATCTGGCGTTATCCCGGGCATACTGTACTAAAAAAGCAGAGATAGCGACAATGCTTAGGAGAATTATAGTCTTTATTATTTATGTCTTGTATCTTGCTGGAAATTCACAAAAAAAAATCAGGCGTATACTGATGTTTTGAATTTTTATATGCAAAGCTTAATTTGGTAAATATTTAAAAGGTATAATAATAAATATGTATAGTGTAGTAGAGTATTTGCCCGTATCCTTGGAGTACAGTGCTGTACAGTATTGTATAAGAAATATAATGCTAACTGTCTGCATCTTGGTTTTTTAAATAAACTTTTTGATGATTTTTTAATATTAACAATTTTAATATACTTTACAGAAAATGATGTACAACAAAATTGCTAATGTTTTCATACTTTGTTTTGAAACTATGTTTGTGTTGTAAAAGATTTTCATGTTCAGAAGTGGAGTATACTCGCACTTATATGTGTGTTGTGAGCAGCATCAGAACCATAGTGTGGACCTGCACTTGTACTCATGTTGTACAAGTGCCTGCACTTGTACAACATAGTGTGTACCTACACTTGTACATGTGTTGTACCAGATCCAATGTGTGTGAATGTGCGAGATGGTTTCCAAGACTTAACTTCATGTTTGGATAGGCATTTTGATCTTCAGTTCCTTATAAGAATTTGCACCAAATTTACAAGAATTTATACTGCATAGCTTTGGTCTAGATAATAACAGATTGAAATTAAATGTTATTTAATGTCACAGCTAGCCTCATGTAGTTAAGAATTTTTTTTTGTGTGAGTGTATAAAGTGGTAAAATTGTGGTTGTAATATTTTCGTCATGTTTAAAGCATGCATAGAGATTGCACACTAATTCCTACCTTTTTGTAACCCAGAGGAATGTACTGTGCCATTCGTCTTGGCATACGACGACCTGCTCTCGGGGCCATTCAAAACGTTCTTTGACTGTAGCATGAAGATTGGAGGAGATGTTGCCAGCATTGCCAAAATGGTGCAGTCTACCTTCATCAACCAACGAGCCTTCCTGGTCACGGCATCAAAAAGCCAGCGACCATTGGACACTGAATTGCCACAGGTGAGAGATACGCTGTACATTTTGAATATGCAATATACATTTTTATTATACTGTATAATACAGTGTCTAGTGGCATAAGTTGATTAAAAAAAATTACAATACAAAAACAAAGTTTACTGTCTACATCATGATTTTTAAGAAGAAAATTTTATATATTTTTCATATTAACAATTTTAGTACTGTATGCTGTGGAGAAAACATACAGCAAAATTTTTAATATTTTGTTACTTTGTATTGTGGAATACAGGAAAATCTCAATTATTGAACTATATATTCGAAGGCCAAATTGTGAGATGTATGGGCAGTTGCAACTTTTGTGCTTTAAGGAAAAAAGTTTATTATACAGTACATATGTATGTATGTATTCATCTAGTTGAATTCACCTAGTTGTGCTTGTGGGGGTTGCGCTTTGTTCTTTCAGCCCGCCTCTCAACTGTCAATCAATCAACTGTTACTAACTACTAAGAGAAAGTGCATCGGACTGGAGAAATGTCACAAGCGGAGTACCACAGAGTTCAGTTCTTGCACCGGTAATGTTCATTGTCTTCATAAATGGTCTACCAGATGGAATACAGAATTATATGAACATGTTTACTGATGATGCTAGGATAATAGGAAGGATAAGTAACTTAGATGATTGTGAACAAAAATCTAGCCAAATTACTACATATTACTACAAATTACTACATAATTAAAATCAGTACATATTCTAGCCAAAGCTAGAATATGTAGTGTTAGATGATTGTCATGCCCTTCAAGAAGACCTGGACAAAATAAGTATATGGAGCACCACTTGGCAAATGGAATTTAATGTAAATAAATGTGATGTTATGGAATGTGGAATAGAAGAACATAGACCCCACACAACCTATAAATTATGTGAAAAATCTTTAAAGACTTCTGATAAAGAAAGAGATCTAGGGGTGGTTCTAGATTAAATTATCACCTGTGGACCACATGAAGAACGTTGTGTGAGGAGCTTATGCCACGCTTTCTAACTTCAGAATTGCTTTTAAATACATGGATGGCGAGATATTAAAGAAATTGTTCACGACTTTTGTTAGGCCAAAGCTAGAATATGCAGTGGTTGCATGGTGTCTATATCTTAAGAAGCACATCAACAAACTGGAAAAGGTGCTAAGGCTTGCAACTAAATGGCTCCCAGAACTGAAGGACAAGAGCTACGAGGAGAGGTTAGAGGCATTAAATATGCCAAAACTAGAAGATAGAAGAAAGAGGCGATATGATTACTACTTACAAAATAGTAACAGAAATCTATAAAATTGATAGGGAAGAATTCCCGAGACCTGGAACTTCAAGAACATGAGGTCATAGATTTAAACTAACTAAACATATCTGACAAAGAAATATAAGAAAATACACTTTCACAGAGTGGTAGAAGGTTGGAACAAGTTAGGCGAGAAGGTGGTGGCCAAAACCATAAATAATTTCAAAGCGTTATATGACAAAGAGTGTTGGCAAAACTGGACACCATGAGCGTAGCTCCCATCCTGTGACTACACTTAGACAATTACATACTGTATGTGTGTAGAGAATGTATGTATGTGTATATATGTATGTATGTAATCACATTAAACATTTAGGACATAGGAAAGGTCCCATTTGGTCTGAAGCCATACACGTCTCGGCTTCTCTCGGTAAGCATCACTACCGCCTGAACTTGACTTCCTCTGACCACCTCAGCTTGTAATGTCACCAGTTTACAATATCACACACACACACACACCCCACATATCAATCAAATCAAAAGCTTTATCTATAATGTGGAAAGTTTACATAAAAATTATATTACATTAATTACATAAGTTAATAAAAGCATAGCATTTAGACATTGCCATTATCAGAATCACAGAATTTGTTCTAAACTACTTATACAAATCATTATAATATTGGCTGGACTAACACCAAATCATTATAATATTGGCTGGACTAACACCAAATCATTATAATAATGGCTGGACTAACACCAAATCATTATAATATTGGCTGGACTAAACAGGTGTATAGCAATCAAAATGAAACTTACATTTTTGGCATAAAGTGAGTGACATTCAGTTTAGTTTAAAATGTGATACAGTATACTGTATAATTGTTAAAATAAATTGAGGTTTACCATTAGAGCAGTAAGATATACAGTATATAGGACATTTTATATCATATACTACACAATCACACTTATATTGAATGTAAAACCTCGATTAACTTCTGTATGGGTCTCGAGACGTCATGTGTATTCAGTGGAATCGCAGGTCGTATAACTTGTACCATGTCATGGTCCAGAGTTGAGGTGTGTGGCTTGGGCACTCCCAAACCCAGGGTTTAAATCCCCACATTGCTCCAATTGATTATCTTATTTTATATCATAAAATTAGGACAATAAGACAATTAGAAGTAGAACTAATACAAATTAACCATGCCATTAAGCTGTAGAAATTTGCACACCCTCATTATTCTACATCAACAAATTCTGGGGCTATTCTAAATCAAAATCATTCCAAACACACAGCTTGCATAACATAGATGCGGCTTCAATTGAACTCAAAATGTCTGTCGGTAATCCATCCCTTCGTGACAGTAGTCCCTTCATAAGTCTTCAGTATCCAGCTGGGGGGTCTCCCTGCTTTCTCTGCTGATTACAGGTTTTAGTCTATTATCCTGTAGACCCTCTACAGCCTTTTATACATCACTCATATTTAAGTTTAATTTTCTGACATTTAAATTTATATACAGTATTTAGAAAATTATAAGTAACTGTTTACTAGTTGTGTTTTTTGCGGGGGTTAAGCTTTGCTCTTTCGGCCCGCCTCTCAACTGTCAATCAACTGTTTACTAACTACTTTTTTTTTTTTTTTTTTTTTTTTTTTAAACTAGTAAAAAATGAGTGCATGTAAAGAGAGTTGAGTTTGAAGGCGTAGTGTGTCTAGAGCAACAACACATAACTCAAGCTTGTCACCGTGTGGCGAGGTGTTTGTTACTTCAGCGGGTGAGCAACCTTTAGAGTGTGAAGATGTGGTATACCTGGACTTTGCAAAGGCATTTGATAAATGTGACCATGGAGTTATAGCACACAAAATGAGGTCAATAGAAATAACTGGTAAAGTAGTACGCTGGATACTCAATATTCGGTTGAACAGAACACAGAATAAGAGTCAACCATATAAAATCGAGTCCAAGCACAGTTAAAAGCTCTGTACCTCAGGGTACAGTCCTTGCACCACTGCCTTTCCTTATTTTCATATCAGATATAGACACAAATACAAGTCACAGCTTCGTATCATCCTTTGCAGATGACACAAAAATCGGCATGAAAATTACCTCTGCTGAAGACATTAAAAACTACAAGCAGATATTAATAAAGTTTTTGACTGGGCAGCAGAAAATATGATGTTTAACAGTGATAAATTCCAGGTACTCAGGTAACGTAAAATTGAACAATTACAATCTGCCCATAGTAGGAAAGCAACATGTAAAGGATTTGGGAATAATGATGTCTGATGACCTAACACTTAAGGAGCATAACCAAGCAAATATTGTGTCAACCAGAAAAATGATAGGATGGATTACGAGAACTTTCAAATCCAAGGATCCTGTCACAATGGTTGTACTATTCAAATCACTTGTGCTGTCCCGTCTTGAGTACTGCTCAGTACTCACTTTCCCCTTCAGAGTAGGAGAGATTGCTGAGAGAGAGGAAGCTCAGAGAACATATATATGGCATACATAGATAAGCACCTAAATTATTGGGATTATCTCAAAGCTCTCCAAATATACTCACTTGAAAGGAGACGAGAGAGAGATCAAATAATATTCACGTGGAAAATGCTGAAGGGCCAGGTCCCAAATCTACACAGTAAAATAACAACTTACAGGAGTGAACGTCATGGAAGAAAATGCAGAATAGAACCAGTGAAGAGCAGGGAGTGCCATAGGCACAATCAGAGAACTCTGTTTAAACATCAGAGGTTCACGGTTTTTCAACATCCTCCCAGCAAGTATAAGAAATATTGCTAGAACAACCATGGACATCTTCAAGAGAAAACTAGATAGTTTTCTTCAAGAAGTACCGAATCAACTTTGCTGTGGTAGTTGGTATTGTTCTGCCATCAGAACAATAACAAACTCTGTTTTCAGACAACACACAGCTCCTCTGTTTAAATCCCCAAACATGCTAAACATTAACTCCACACATTATCTTGTGCCATTTACACGTACAAAACTTTGTTCCTAAATGCAATTCCTGATCTGAAACTCTTCCTTGACAAATGTAATAGGACCCATAATCACCAAACCAGAAATAAATATACTGTATCTCTGATATTCCCAGAGTCAAACTAAACCTGTGTAAACACTTTATGCAAATAAAGGCACCTAGTCTATGGAACTCACTCCCTAATGAATTTAAAAGCTGTCCAATTATGCCTTATTCAAAAAAGTGTAAAACCAAAATGTATCTAATTTTATCCACATAGTTTCCTACTAGTGCTTCAAAATCGCACTATATCTTGTGCTACCTACTCCCCCAATATATGTGCCGAAGCCATACAACTTTACCATTGTAATCACTGCTATCGTCTTATACTGTCTCATGATTGTTGTGTTGAATGCAAATTTTTACTACAATGGGTCTAGAATTAATCCTCAAATTATGCTACAATGTATCTGTTGACAATTCTCGATTTTTACTGTAATGTACCCATTAATTTTCTTCAAATTTTCTTACTGTGTATCTCTTAACATTCCTCAAGTTTTTCTACAAATTACCTACTTAAAATTATCTGTTAGATTAATAGTATAGTACAGTATTTATAAGCATTAAATCACATCACATGTAAACAGGGGCTTTAGCTCTTAATAACACTATATTTTCCTTTACACTTCACTATCATTTTGATTAAATAACAAAATACTAAATACAATACTAAAAGATTATGAAAAAAAAATATTTGTTATTTAATTTTTCTTCTCGTCTGTTCAAATGTTTGACATTTCCAAATGACAATATTAGGCTGTTGGGTTTCTTCTTTTGAAGAAGAAACCTTCATTTTTGTTGGGTTTCGTGTATACCAAATAGTTCACAATTGGCTGTTGAAATATTTAAGGATTGTTGCCAAAGGCATTATAACTGTCTGGTGTAAAAGCAACCCAAAGGAATGAAACCCTGCCAAACTGAAAATCAGAACACTTAATGCCATTAAAAGTCAACTAGAAGCATGTTATTGAATGGCTACAGGTATTTGAGGCATAATGTGAAGGTACAGTTTCATGTTAGTCACTACCTCTGGATGCTGGACTATTTTAGCTTACATTCCCTCATGTAAGTAACTTGGCCATACTGAACAAATGCATTTTTAGAGTGATGAGTTGAGTGTATTCATGCACTTTAGAAGGAAGGAAGAGGAAAGGAAAGCAAAGATAATGGACAAATGTAATAAGTGTGTGTAACAAAGCGGTGAAGTGTGAGGAGGCATGCGTTGTGTGTGAACAGTGTATACGTGGTAAGGGAAGAGGGCTGTTTTGAGTTCACTGGTTAGGAGTGATGTAATGTTTGACATTTTTTAAATTAAATCTTGCAGAAAATATTTTATAGGTAGTGATATGAAGTGATTGGATGCAGCTGTGGATGTTTGATAATGCAGGTCACACTCCAGTACTAAAGGCCATATTGCATAATTGTTTCCTTTCATAGTACTGTAAGCCTAGAGTTCAGGTCAAGTACATCAAGTGTCCAGTATTCAAAAAGTATTTACAGAGCTCAGTACATTGCATCTTAATCTATGTCAGAAATTTTTTGGTATCTGACATTCTACAATATAATGTTCAAAAGAATGCATGTTTTTTCATTTATAAAGTTGAGATTATTTACATGTAAAAACAGCTTGCTCTGTATAGATAAAGAAAGCTTCGGCCTTTGTCGTAATGTTTTTGATTGAGCCTACTTTTCTTCCTCGACTTCAAACCAGCACTCGCCTTACACATGCCTGACCCCCCCCCCCCCCTCTCTTTGTATAAACTCTTCACTCCTTTAAATGGAACTTCTTCCTTCATCATATATGCACTGAGTTTTACTTACAGTTCCATCACCAGTTACTCTACCTGAAACCGCTTCAAGTTCATAAATGTGGTATACTCCTTTAACTTGTAACAACTGTCTCGCCTATCCTCACTGTGAATAGTAATACACACAGCCTTGTCCCCTCCATAAAATAAATCTTCACTGTGATATACTTATGCTTTACAGGTGCTAGAACCTACAGGCAAGAAGATCCAAGAAGTGATTGCCTTTCGTGAATCTAAACGTCAATCCCCATTCTTCAACCACTTATCTGCCATCTCGGAATCTATCCCCGGTCTATCGTGGGTAGCGGTTACCCCTGCTCCAGCACCTTATGTGAAGGAGATGGGAGATTCAGCGGTGTTCTATACTAACAGAGTTCTCAAGGAATATAGGTAAGTTTAATGGAGTAGTTTTGTAGTAGCGTTAAGCAACAGTTCTTGTGATATACTTGTTCTATGGGGAACACCATTCTTAACGGGTACATTTTGTCAGATCACTTTTATTTCTTAGCAGTCCCAATCTCTTCCATATCCTTCCAGCATAAATCACAATGAAGAAATTAATCATTTTCATTATTAGCCATATTTTGTATTTGCAATATCAATTAGTATATAGTAATTCTCTCTCTACAGTACAAAACAATTAGCAAAAGTAATCAAAGATGATAATTTGACAACAAAAATTAAAGAAAATTTCAAATATATTTTTGAATTGCAAATAATAAACAGTAATCAGATTTGTTAAAATTGTATAGCTTTAACAAGAGCCATGAACCTCATGCTGAGAACTAAATGAGAATCTCAGGAACAAAACATGTAAATTTTGCTCATATTCTGCCATGCTAACAAATGTAGATTTATTCTCTCTGCTTTATCAAAATACCCATAACAGGACTGAAGGCACATTCAATCAAGTATTGTACGTGGTCAGAAATGACAGAGGTGCTGACCTCTGCCATTTCTAACCAAATTAGCTATGGTGGCCTATGCTGGGCCACCATAGCTAATTTGTTGTATGGGACAGTTTCACATCATTATTATTTTGCAAGTCCATCAACTCATTGATCTGATCAGTCTGCTGTATATCCAGACACTTGTTATTTTTGCAATTAAAAAGAAATGACTGAGTAATCCAATATGGATAGTTCACTCATTTCTGATCAATAAATCTGTTGTTAAACTTGATCAACAGCTTGGAAACACGCTCTTGAGAAATTATTTCAACTTTTTCTATTTGCATATACTGTATTTAGTCATTACCCAACAAAATAAATATTTTGTGCAACTAAATATTTTTTACTTCTTCAGAAAATATAACTGTAATAGGGTCTTGTAGTACAGTTGGCTTTGTTCTTGACTTACAATTGAGGAGCGAGGGTTCAATTCCTTGCTGCGATAGAAATAGTTGGGCATGTTTCTTTTAACCTAATGCCTCTGTTCACTGTCATGTCATGATCATGACACGAGCAAGGCTTGTGGAATAAAACTTTCCCCTCATAAATTAATGAGCTACCTGGCCTCAAAATATTCAGTGGTAATATGTCTAAGGAAGAGTGAAAGTCTTAAATATAATCCACCAGTTTACTGGGGCAAACTTATCTACATGGCACTGCTTCTTACATACACAAATCTCTCTATATATAATGTACTTATAACCAGTAAGTAAGTAAACCAGTAAGTAGTAACTAAGTAATTGTAACTTATCCACCGCTGCCCACTGGATGGGGGCAGTGTGCAGGATAAACATATCAATTGTGACACTAGCTCTCCACATATGTCAGTTGCTTAATTTAGAAACTGTACTTGTGGTCGATCTCGAACCCATTGTTGATGTGACGACTTATACTGAATTTTGTAACTAGCTCATCAAGATTGTAACTTGCTTAGCTAAATGAATTGTGGGGTTCAGTCCCTGAGCCCATTATGTGCCTCTGTAACACTTTCCACTACCGCCCACAAGATGGGTATGGGTGCATAATAAATGAACTAAACTAAACTAACTCATAACCAAATAATAATGAAGTAAAGTCACACAATGTACAAGTCATAGCAGCTAGATGTCACTTAGCAAAAATAACCTAATAACATTGGTTCATTAATCAACCCAAGACTGGCTGAAAGGATGTGAACATGGTGGGGTAGTGACGTTACATAGCCAGAGTGAGGGGTATAATTTCTCAGCATGAACATCAATAATACAAGGCGGTGAACTATCTCTTTGCCATCAGATAAAACTAAGTCCCAACTGGACTGGCAAATGGCAACATATAAAATCTCTCTTCAGATAGTCAAGAGTCCACAATGACTGGAAATATGACAGTCAAGAAACTCTCTACGGAAGCTGAAGTCCACAATGACTTGACAAATGTCAGTCAATTACCGTATTTGCCGGCATATAAGATGCGCTTTTTATATTTTTAAATGTATAAAAAAAATTGCCCTGCGCCTAATGCAGCCGTATTACGGATGTGAGAGAGTGGCATAGACTAGGGAGCCTGACGAGTATACTGGTTAAGTTCGCTAGGCACAAAAATCGTTTCTAATAATAAAATATTCAAAACAAGCCAAATTATTACAGTACTGTAAATTGTGTTACTAATAATATAATACTGTATGGAAAACAAGCTGAGTTATCACAGTCTGTTAACACAAACTAACAAAAAATTGCTTACGATATATGTAGGCAATTATGAAGGAAGCTTACATCATCTTGCCACCTTACCCAGTATACATATCCCACACCTGATGTATGTCATACATTATTCAATGACTGTATTACATTTAAGAAACATTTCTTCATTATCTGAATGAAAAATGCTCCTAGAAATTTGAGAGAAATGTTAAACTTTCATCCTCCTGTCAGCCATTTGCAATGAATGAATAACAACAAAACCAGAGCACTGTGATGGTGCGCCACCACCAAGTGCGCCACCCTCGTGGCCTGATGTGGCAACACTCGACATCACAGCCAGAAATACAAGTTTCACATCATGTATAGCAATTCTCTTGCCCAAAATATAGACAACTATACAGCTGATTTTAGAGGAGGTACAAGTTGGGGTACAAAAACCACTTTAAAATATCTTTCAATAAATGTATGATGAAACATACTAAAATAGATGTTTTTCTACAAAATATCCTTGTAAATTAGGGGTGCGGCCAATGCGAGGGGGCGACTTTTACACGGTAAATACTGTAGATCATGAAGGGCTAGTGAAAGACTTGTGCAAGGATATATGCAATGGGAATAACTGGTAAAGTAGGACGGTGGATACTCAATTTCCTGTTGACAGTCAATCAAATAAAATCTAGTCCAAGTGCAATTAAAAGCTCTGTACCTCAGGGTTCAGTCCTTGCACCACTGCTTCCCCTTATTCCCATATCAGATATAGACAAAAATACAAGTCACAGCTTTGTGTCATCCTTTGCAGATGACACAAAAATTAGCATGAAAATTACCTCTGCTGAAGACATTGAAAAATTACAAGCGGATATTAATTGTGTTTTTTGACTGGGAAGCAGAAAATAACATGATGTTTAACAGTGATAAATTCCAGGCAGTCGGGTATGGTAAAAATGAGAACTTAAACAAAATACAGGGGTACAAAACACAATCAAATCTGCTCATAGTAGGAAAGCAACATGTTAAGGATTTGGGAATAATGATGTCTGACAACCTAAAGTTTAGGGAGCATAACCAAGCAAATATTGCTTCAGCCAGAAAAATGATCGGATGGATTACGAGAACTTTCAAATCCAGGGATTCCATCACAATGGTTGTACTATTCAAATCACTTGCGCTGTCCCATCTTGAGTACTGCTCAGTACTCACTTCCTCCTTCAGAGCAGGAGAGAGATTGCTGAAATAGAGGGAGTACAGAGAACATATACGGCATGCATAGACATGATAAAGGACCTAAATTATTGAGATCATCTCAAAGCTCTCCAAATGTACTCACTAGAAAGGAGATGAGAGAAATATCAAATAATATACACAGGAAAATACTGGAGGGCCAGGTTCCAAATCTACACAGTAAAATAACAACGTACTGGAGTGAACGACATGGAAGAAAATGCAGAATAGAACCAGTGAAGAGCAGAGGTGCCATGGGCACAATCAGAGAACACTGTATGAACATCAGAGGTCCACGGTTATTCAACATCCTCCCAGCGAGCATAAGAAATAGTGCAGGAACAACCGTGGACATCTTCAAGAAAAAACTAGATTGATTTCTAAAAGAAGTGCCGGATCAAACGGGCTGTGGTGAGTCTGTGGGTCTGCGAGCCACTCCAAGCAACAGCCTGTTGGACCAAGCTCTCACAAGTCAAGCCTGGCCTTGGGTCAGGCTTGGGGAGTAGAACAACTCCCAGAACCCCATCAAGCAGGTATCAAGCAAGCAGGTTGGAGGTGTTTATCAATTTCTCTCTCGAACACTGAGGGGGGTTAACCCGTTATGCCCCTTATGTGTAGTGGAAGCATGATGAACAGTCTCGAGCCTCTGCTGTTAATAGAGTTCTCTCTGAGTACCTCTGCTTTTCAACAGGGGTATTCTGCATATCCTGCCATGCCTTCTGGTCTCATGTGGTGTTATTTAAGTGTGCAGGTTAGGGACCAGCCCCTCTAATATTTTCTACATGTAAATTATTATGTATCTCTCCCGCCTGCGCTCAAGAGAATACAGATTTAGGCATTTTGTGGGTCCCAATAGGTTAGATGTTTTACCGAGTGGATTCTAGCAGTTTTTTTTTTTTTTTTTTTTTTTTTTTTTTTTTTTTTTTATTATTTTCTACCACAGACGTGGCCACACATTTACAATGCTAACCAGCATATATACATTTTCTTCTGTCCTCCATGGACAGGGTTAGAGAAGTGTTAAACATACAGTTCAAGGGTTTATTGAACACTCAACCACAGAAGGTGATTCGGTGCTTTTGAAATGCTAAGCTAACCTACATACGTAAATACAAAGATACACAGATTTACGTACGCCCTACATAAAGTATTAGATGTGTCTTTTACATAGTGTCATTAATGTACATTCACAAAGGTGAAATGTAATTCTGATCAGCTTCCATATTTGCTTTATACCCATACATATACATACACACACACACATACACATACATATATACACACATACATGCATTCACATACATTTGTCTCATTTACCCTGACAGGGTGAGGTAGCTGATAAAGAAACTAGTGTGCAATTAAGCACTTAATCACTGAAGGTGATGAAGGTGCTTTTACAAGCTCAGGTTATATAGTTACATCACATACATACATTGTATGATTGATACATTACATGGTCAATTTTGGATACAAGTCCAATATATCATCAAGTGTTCCAGTACTCATATAGTAACTACAGAGTTCAGCATACCTTAGCCCAGGAGGGCGAAAGTCAGTCAGTATGGGACATTCTACAATATAATGTTCAAGAGAGTGCATGTTTTCTCTTTCACAAAGTTGACACATTGTGTACTCGACATTTGGGTTTTGAGAAAGCTGCCAGATACGTCTATATCCCAGGCGTATTCTGGCCACTATAACATCACATTGCCGGGTTCTTGTTCTATTAGTCCCATATGTGAATGTCTCCTCACGATATCTATCATAATATTTAATGCTACAACTTTCAGGTCTTTGAGAATTTGTTAGGTCGGTGAGATTTTCATTAGATATTTGTTTAAGTATTCTCTTTGTCACTGCTAATGAAACACCCATATCAATTTCTACCACTGGTTTTCTGCAAGCTGACTTAGCAAGCATATCAACAGTGTCATGCCTTGAGATGCCAACATGTGATGGTATCCATAGGAATTTAATCTCAAATCTGTTTTCTTTGGCAGCTAAAACATTCATTCGAATATCACTGACTATTTTCTGGGTGTCACTACTATGTGCGTTCAATGCCAATGCCAACTCAAAATGCCTAAATCTGTATTCTAGCAGTAAAGGCTCTCTACACGCTCTCCAGGTCAGCAATTTCTCCAGCTTTGAAATGGGCTGTCATTGTGTAACAGTTATCCAACCTGTCATTTTTCTTGCAGTTGTGACGGCTACTTTGTGGTTTTTAACCACTGCACAGAACGCATTAAGGCACCCGATCAGGGGGTGTGCAGAGCACCATATGGCATTGTTAGGTATAGGGAGCAATTCAAAACTCCCGTAGCTACATGGGGCTCACATCCTGTGCCTCAGGACTCCAGTAAACAGATGCTATCTTGAAAAAAAAATCGCTAGCATGCATACTAACTGTGAGAGCCTCAGTACTGAGAGAACGACCAAAGTTGGTGCATACAGGATCTGCTCACAGCAATGCTGCGCATCTAGGGCCATAGCACCACTTAATAATAATGAATAAAATAGGTAACTGTAATTATTTTGCATTGATAGTGTCATAGATGATCCTGACTGTGATAAAGATTATGTTCAATGTTCAGATATCAGTGAACACAATGTTAATTATGATATTCACAGCATGAGGTAGAGACACAGCACCCAGCCATTGTTTCCTGCATCTGTGCATCTTGAAACAACCTCATGTTCCTTTGCAATACTGGGGTACCTCGTTTTAAGAATTTAATGTTCCTGGAGACGGTTCTTAAACCGAAGCGAATTTCCCCATAAAAAAATAATGGTAAATGAATTAATCCATTCCTGACTCCCCAAAAACTTCTCTTCAAAGTAAATTTTATACCTAATTCACCCAAATCTTCACTACAAAAGTATGTTCAAGTTATTACTTAACCCTTGCTGATGACTCCTGTTGGCATATGGAAGATTATGAGGAGTGGGGAGGAGTAGAGGTGTTACTGTTTGGAAGGGAAGTCCCCCTTCCATTATAACATCAGGCAGTGAAGATTTCTCTGGAGCGCGCACTGGCACATTTTGCCTGCATACCACTAGGTCCTGATTGTGGCTCACCGCTTGATTTTCTCACTTTTCTCACAAGGAAACGTTCTGTTGAAAATTGTTTTTCCCTTCTCCGTTTGGGAAACGAAAAGAACACCGTTTGGTTGATCTAAGAATGTAATATACGTGTCACTATATATGAGCCCCATATTTTTTAGAACACGTTTAACTATATATATTCCATAAATTACACACTTGAATAATATTACTACAAAAAACTAGATTTAAAACCATTCACAGACATTAAAATAATTACATAAAAAAATGTATTTGGGGGCAGCCCCTGCCACACTGACTGTCGGCCGCTAGGCTGACCTTGCATTCTTGTTCCGTGTGTAAACTATCAACACGCGGTTTTTGTGGTTCATTATGGTGCAGAAAAATTGTAGATAGTTATATATAACATAAAAGGAGGTGGGAGGAAAGACATAGCGGGGATTGGGGAGCTGAGAGATTAATCTCGTGTGCCCTATAAGCCAGTCTGTGATAGTCAGCCCACCCACCCGCCTTTTTTTTTTTTTTCTTAGGCTATATTTAAATGTTTTTTTTAATGTTTTCATCACTCTTTGTGTTTTGAAATGAAAATAATTAAATTTGGAAAGATTTTGATATTAACTTTACCTGACCATTTATAAAAACAACAAAAGTATGTCCTTAACAGTTGCACTATGAAGTTTTTACCAAAAACAGATGTGCAGTGCAGGGGTTAAGGGCAGCAGGGCTCTTATTAAGAATGTTATAGTGTATTACAACTTTATCGTCATAATTCACATCATATTAGAAACAAACGATCACACAATGTGTTTCTTTCGTTTCCAGGGAGAAAGACAAGATACATGTTGAATGGGTACAGAACTGGAACAATGTCTTCAAGGAGCTACAAGAGTATGTCAAGAAACACCATACAACTGGATTATCATGGAACACTCGGGGAGGCAACGCCATGGCCAACCTCAAGCCTGCACCAGCCAACTGTGGTGTTCCCCCTCCCCCACCACGTATGTTGAACACTGTCTTTTATTCATTCTTTAAATATCCATCTCCAGTAGGAATTGATTCGGCCCAATCAGTTGTGTTTTAGCTCAACATTTTGTGATACTGTATGATCATTTTGAGCAATCTGTTTCTATCATCTATGAAAACTAGACATACTGACCACAAAATATGCATCGATTGCATGATACTGTATGGCTTAGGCTGAGAAAAAAGTGATAGGATCTTAGAGGCTGTAGAGTGGTTCGAGTCACCTCATTGCTCCAATTGATTTTCTCGTTAATATATTTCACGTTAGTGTGATTTTTCTGGGGGAAGCCCCTTGGGCTCCCTAAAGCTACTACAATGATGCAATGCCATACTACTTGGTGCCATCAATCACAGAGCTCTTTATTCTTAGAGGGGGGCCACAAGCCAGAAATGTGGCCCCCTCAGAGACACAGGGAGCAGTGGCACTATGAAAACCTTTTATGTAAAGTTATTCATGTCTTCCACCACCAAGGAAAGGCACCTAGAAAGCAAAACAAAACAGACTACTGCTTGTTTAAAAATGAGACTGGCACCCTCAAAACTCCCCAAAGAACTACTATAAACTATGTAAAGAAATGGTAAAAAATTTGTGAAACTAGCATGAGCTAGTTTGCTCCATCTCCACCCGTCCTCATTTTGGGGGAGGAGGAAGGCAGGCCTGGTCAGCCGGCTGTTCCACCACCAGTTCTTAATCTGATTGTAACAAACTAGGCTGTTGTAAGAATTATCCAGAGTGGTTTATCGACAAAAGAGAATGGGAAGCTGAGCCGCATGGTGACCTGACCCCCAGGGGGATTCGCGGTGGAAATAACCGACGCGTTGTTCATAACTGCGTATAATGAACCATCCTATAGTATTCAGTAAATTAGAGAAAATTAGCCTTTATTCATTTTGCATTAAAATTGTATTGTATAATAGTACTGGATACAATATCAAGAGTATTCTAATTATTGAGTTTAAGTCACCATCAGTGACGTCACGAATCGGATCTAACTTTTAAGGCGGAGTGACCGGCGGTCATAGGTCAGCAGGGTTGACATGTCTAATATTTCTCAAAGTTTTATTAACCATTTTGGGGATCGGGAACAGCTCTGCCGTTAGATGTTTGTAATTTAATTCAGTAAAATAATTCAACCAGTCTGGATCAATTAAGTACAACAGAGTTTAATTGTTATAACTTAAACCTGGCTAGTAACTTGGTAAAACTTTGACTAGGCGGAAGGATACAAGGTTCTAGTCTGGGCTAGGCCAGACGAGGACAAATCAGTGTGAATACGGGAGCAGCTGGGAGAGGTCAACCATCTTACCTCTCCCCAAACCAGCACAACATCTTAGCTGGAAAACATAGAGGTATAGTTGCTATGGTTATGTATAGAAATAGTCTTCTCATTTGCCACTCAGGTCAAGTAGGGAGTGTTAAAGTAATAGGGAGTGAACATATTTAGATTTTGTTTTAGTTTTCTTTTAATAAATTAAATTTGTTATTAATTTGCATTTTATTGTTTCCATGTGTTTTATGTGTATACTTGTCCTGGTCACGTGGTCCACACGAGGCAGAGTTGCATTGGGCGCCGATTCTAACATCGAATCGGAATTATCATTACCGTGTAATTTATTCCACACTCAAGGTCATCGTTTATAGTGGGGATCAAGCCCCTAGGTTGATTAATTAGCGTGATCGATCCAGACCTCGATCATTGCTCTTGTATTACTGGTCTGGTGGTGGCAGCAGAGGTGACTCTAGGGTTTTGTTCAGAGCTTAGGTCACGTCATACTGGGTGTAGAATCCTAAGTCGGTCAATCGTCTTAGGACCACGTGGCGTGGAGTTGGCTTTGTTAAAAGTTTTGGAGTCCCTTGGTAGAGAACAAAGAGTAAGAATACGGGTAGAGGGAGTAGAAAGAAGGAAGTAAAGACAGAGGGAACCCGAACCCGTGTTACAATGGTGCACAGCGGTGGTTTCAACAATTTTGTTTGAAATTGTTGAAAGGCTCACGCGTCTAGCCGTTCGAACACGTGCGCGGATGCTAAGGAGACAGCCGCGGGCCAGGATTAGCAGTGCGCCCCACAAGTGCGTTTGAGTGGGGATTGGCGAATCTTGGGTCATGCGGGCTGATATGATTAAGGTTAGTTAGTAAGATTAGGCTGTTAAAATAGATTTATTGAAAAGGAGACCGCTCCGAGTTGATTGGACTGGGTACCATACTCGACCCATTGCAATTAATTCAGAGGTGTTGGGAGCCACCATACTCTCAACAGCAGTTCCTTGAGGGCTGTCGGGGGCGGATATATCTGTGGGACGCCAGTAGATAGTCCGAGGGCGTTATTAGACGACCCAAAACGCTAAGGAAAAACGTAATCCGTGAAGGGCGTTGCGGCCTCCGAGGGACGGACTAGTAAACTACCTAGCAGCGATTCAACAACTAAGTGATCGCACACTTAGTGGAGGTTGAGTCGTCCCTAGTCATAATTGTTGCTGAAAGCTGCGTGTCGCTCTGTTGGAACCTAGATGGTGTGGCCTCTAGGCTAGGTGTGGTACGGCGAGCCGGTAGGAACAATTATAAGTTTAAGTCGAGTGCATTTTTGAATTAAGTATACTTAAATTTATAAAGTAATTTCCGTTTATTTGCGTTGTTCTAGATTAATTTTTTCCCCTAAATTCAATCCCCGGTTAAAATTTTTCCCAAGTGTTTAGCGTTTTCTTGCATATTAGGCTAAGTGCGTACGTTAAGTTTTGTTATTCCCTGTTCTATTAGTCTAAGTCAGAGGCGTTGTTGCTAGAGTGTAGTTAATCCTCTGGACTTAGGGCTATATGTCGGTCACGATAGATAAGTGAAGGAGTTTAAGGGATAGTAAGTTGCGTGTAAATGTTATTTGTCCGTGGAATATTTCTAAGTATTTTGGGATAAGTTTTCGGCTAAGTCAATGTCGGAAAGTCGTTAACTGTAATTAATTTGTATTCGTGGGTCACGTGTATGATCTGGGCGTCATTAGGATTCCCCAGTCGATGCGCGTGATATTTTCTAGTTGTTACCAGTAAGACGGTAAAATTGTGTTTGTAGACTTAGAATTCTGTTTTCAGTAGAAACGTAGGTGGAAAATTTTCTAAGTCCAGCTTGGGCTAGAATCTGACTTTTTGGCGGAAATTCTAATTTTCAGGTTTCGTGTATATCCTAGAGTCAGTATTACTCTCTAGTGCGCGCAAGGGACGTAATTCTGTTCGTAAAGCATTAAACAGTGATAATTACATTTTTGCCGAATTTAGTTATTTTTTCGAGAAAATCGTGTCGTAATTTTGTCAGAGTCCATTTGAGGTGAAAATCTCGGATTTTGACGAAAAATCGAATTAGTGAGTGTTGAAACCGCCCGAAGTGTCAGTATTGTTCTGTATACAACGTCAGTAGTGAATAATAACGTATTTATATCTGGGAACGAGAAACCCAAATTTTTGTGAATTAAAGGAGTTTTGTGATATTTGGGGTGATAGAATATTTTTCCCTCGGAGTCAGGAAAATTGGCAGAGTCCAGCAATTGAGTAAAAACGCAGTTTTTGATAAAAATTCAATTTTTAGTAAGCATTTATAGGTCCTGGGTGTCTATATTAATCGCTAGAGCGGTTTATTAACGTAAAACTAGTTATTTTTCCTTCAGAACAAAAATTTTGATTTTTCAGCGTTTAAGCGAAAAAGCGCGGGACTTAGTTTTTTCAGCGCAGCTGGTCCCGCTCCATCAGTCATCAGTGGCCACGCTGCTCACTTCAAGTGCGCTTAGTATTCAAATTCAGTAAATATTCTTTATTAATCCATCACGAGTGCTGCGCGTTAGTTGCGTTATCAGTTAAATTGTTTTATATAAATTAGATTCTTTAATTTTTTTAACGTAAAGGGACTTAGGTTTCAGCAATAGAACTGCGGGATATTTCACGGTCAGACACGAGTGCGGGGCAGACACTCATTCATTGGATTCACTTCAGCGATTCTCTCGATAAATCGGTGTATTTCCTACTTTGGGAATTTAGTAGTTTTCTCTTAGAAAAGAGTTGTGATTTTTTTTATTTGTATAAGATCACGGTTGTAGTGAGTCCGGGTCGAGGGTGTACTAAAGGGTAGTTTAGAAGAGACGTGGCACACCAGGAATCACAGAAAATGTTTAACCCAGATAATGACCAGGCAGTGGGGACCAGTGGGAGTGGAAGTGGAAGTGTAGAGGACAGCACCTCTTCCGACACCACTGGGGACCACCTAGGTACACCTCATCCGTCACTACAACAACCCCAACCCCATCCTCAATTCCCATACCAACCCCATCCTCAATTCCCATACCAACCCCATCCTCAGTTCCCATACCAACCCTTCCCCCAACCCCAGGCCACTCCATACCCATTCCAACCCCAGGCCACCCCATACCCATACCAACCCCAGGCCACCCCATACCCATACCAACCCCAGGCCACCCCATACCCATACCCATTCCAACCCCAGGCCACCCCATACCCATACCCATACCCATTCCAGCCCCAGGCCACCCCATACCCACCCCAACCCCAATCCACACCCCAGCCTGAGGTCACCCACACCATACCTCAACCCCAACCTCCATCCACACCCCAACCCCAGGCCACCCACACCATACCTCAACCCCAACCTCAATCCACACCCCAACCCGAGGCCACCCACACCATACCTCAACCCCAACCCCAGGCCGCCACAGCCTTAGACAGGCAGATGAGCACGGAGACGCCGGGCACTCAGTTGTCGCCATACGTAGAGGCGTTAAGTAAAGGCGAGGGAGCCAAGCCGAGGAACTGTGGCGCGGGTTCATCAGGCGGGAAGCAGCCCTCAGCTGCAAGTTCGAGCCACCCTGCGCGGGGTACCAACAGAGATCCGCGGAGGTGTTACTCCTGCTGGAAGCGCGGGCATATACAGAGGGATTGCGAAGTCACTCCTACGAAAGCATGAAAGCAGGCTCCTAGTGATG